GGATAAATTCCTTGATAGAAGCATAATAGCAAAGATCTGCTGTTTGGGATTAGATAAGAGATTCAAAACAAAGTACAGTATTGACTGTTTGGTTGACACTTACTTGCAAAAAAGACCAAAAATAGATTTTAACACAATTTGAAAGACTGAGATGGCCCTCTCCCACATTTTCCATGCTGATGTAAATAACTGGGCTCACTCTTGTTTTTTAAATATTTTTAATTGGTTTTTTGCTAATTTCATACAATGACACTTTCCTACCATAGAAATACAACACACAAGTCGGACATAAAGGAGTGCAGCTTTCCGGCGGCCAGAAACAAAGACTGGCTGTTGCAAGGGCCCTTCTCCAGAAGCCAAAAATTCTACTGCTGGACGAGGCCACATCAGCTCTGGACAAGGAGAGTGAGAAGGTAACACCCTCTTCTTTCCTGTCAAATGTGGCAGCAAAAGGAACCAGAGACTGTGAAGACCAAGGGTGGATTAGGGAAATAAAGGCCTGGCAAGAATTGTCTTCTAGACTCACCAGCTTGGCCTTACAGGTTGGCAGGGAGGTAGGAAAGGGTTGAAACAGGGGCACCTCACATAGTGGAAAAGTTTTCTCATTTGAATTTGTTTTATTATCAAAATGGGCCTAAATCTGAAAGTATTTCTCCAGTTGAGAAATGAATCCAGGAAAAAGTTCTTTTCTCGTTTATTATTCTTCCTTTGATGCTAAACCAATTAGTAAGGTAATCTACGTGTGAAGAGGACAAGCTATAGTGTAATGGGAGAACATTCTGGGTCTTCTACTTCTCAGACTGTTAGTGTGGTTAGAGCAGAAAAGGAGGAAATGAAGGAACATAGACAAAGCAAGTCCATCAGGAAGACAATTCACCAACACAGCAAGTCCACTGTCTCAGCTTGCTGTGTCCTTGTCCTCTGGGAATCTCTTGCAAGTAGGAGGCACTTCTTTAGTAAATGAACACTGGAAAGATGAATGATAATCATTAATATTTGTCAATCTTCACCATCATCCCAAGCCTACAATGATGTCACTTCATTAGAATATCCATTTGGCAGATTAGCACTTTGTTTAGATAGATGAAGTAAAAAGCCAGACATGGTGTGCACGTCTGTACTCAGGAGGGTGAGGTAGCAGGGATCCAAGATTGAGGCCAGCCTGGGCTAAACAGCAAGACCCTATCACGGAAAGATGGGAGGGAGGGAGAGAAGAAGGAGGGAAATGAGGGAGGACAACTGCCCCCATATTACTGCTAAGCCACACATGACTAGTTTTTATGGATGTTATCATCGATTCTTAAAGAGACAGTGTGCTATGAAAGAAAACAAAACGTGACTTTTGCAATCAAACATAGGTTTGTTAGATCCTGGGTTTGTTAGTTGCTAGCGGCTGCCCTTAATCAAGTGCCCTGGGCTCTTTGAGCCATGGTTGACTTGGCAGAAAAAGTAAAACACCAGCATATTATGGGGCAATTACAAGGATTTATAGGAGATACCCATCAACAGAACATTTTTCAAGTTCAACAGGTATTGGTTTTCACCCTTACTCCCATTTTCTCTGCAGCATTTTAACCTCGTTGTTAGACAAATCTGTTAGGCCATTCTATGGAAACAGCTTCTTGGCTTCGAGTTTAGAATCACATACATAGCTAATCATTCCATTTGTAGTCATTGTCAGAAATGCTTTTCTAGCTCACTCTCACTTGAGTACATCTCCATTTCTATCAAGTAGGGTGACTATGTCCCAAAGTAACGCAGTTTGTTTAGGGATAAGCAAATGAAGCAAAGAACATTATTAGATTACCTTAACTGATTGGACCTTAACTGACTGGGCTGCACTTGCTTATTAACCTCTAACCCAAACTGGCAGTCACAGGTCCTTCTCTCTTACAGGTGGTCCAGGATGCCCTTGATAAAGCCCGGAGAGGGAGGGCTTGCCTAGTGGCGGCTCACAGACTCTCCACAATACAGAATGAAGATCTGATTGTGGTTCTGCAAAATGGAAGAATAAAGGAACAGGGAGCATCAGGAGTTCCTGAGAAATCATGACGCATACTTTAAATTAGTAGATGCACAGTCGGTGCACTGATGCTGTCAAGTTTGCACATACTTTGATCTTCCTGCACTGCAAGGATTAGTCAGTCATTTCTTGGTCTGCTTTGATCTCTCGTTGCAAATATCAATACCTGACACTCAAGTACTAACATGTTCTGTTCACTCAGCTTCCCTTCAGATATGTTTAAAGCAAATCAGGGACTGGAGGGATGGTTGAGCAGTTAGAGCATTGGCTGCTCTTCCAAAGGACCCAGATTCAGTTCCCAACACCCACATGGTAGCTAACGACTATCCATAACTCTAGTTCCAGGGGATCTAATGACCTCTTCTGACCTCCACGGGCACTACACAACAGGGGTGCACTTATATACGTGCAGGCAATACACTCATACACACAAAATAAAAATAATAAATAAAAGAAAACCAAAGATTTGCAAAAAATTATCTGAAGGAGACCATATAGTATCCCTCATTTAAAAAAAAAAATCTAATGCATTTCCTTGTAAAGCAATTTTCTGTTAAATAAATGCATTTCTCCATCAAAGTTCTGCTATCAAATTGCAAATGTGTTGAGGGATTGGGGAGAGACACAATGACATCAACCAGTTGAAAGGTTTTAGTTGAGAGGGTAAGATGCAGTCAATCAGGCCTGTGGCACTGCAGAGAAGATCTTTACTTTGGAAGGTCTTGGGCTTTGCAACATGTTCTCGTCCTCTCTGGGCTCCCTGTTCTCTAGATGGTAGGAATTACTCTAAGATCTTTCTCAACTTTCCTCTCAGTAAATACCCACTGTTTCTCAAAATTCCATTACAGACCTTCCCTAGGGCAGGTGGGGGAAGTTAGGATAACAGTGTAAAGTTTCTGGATAAAAACATAGATTTACCTACTACTTCCCCAGTAACTGTAGCATCTCACACAGTCCTTCCTGAAGGTTCCACTCCAAGCTTGGAGTGGACAGTAGAAAGCACAACCTTATCAATGCATGAACGCTTACTTACTTAAAATAAAACCTACCTTTATTGTGAGTGAAACATTGAAATGCTTTGTATTATCAGTTTAACTTTATAAGAACTTAATTATGTCATATATGATTTACAAATTCTATATAATAGCAATATTAGTAAGCTGAGTCATTTGTCTATTTAATTAAATATATAATGTCATCTTTATTCCCACTCTTAAAAGTTTTTATTAGGATATACAGATTATACATAACAATAGGATTCACTGTGATATTTTCATGAATGTATATAATGTATTTTGACCATACTCACCACCCATCGCCCTCTCCTGTTCCCCTCCCCCTCTGCCTCTGATGATCCCCTTTCTCTTCCTTCCCTTTCCCCCTCTACTTCCAGGGCTTTTTGATGTGTCACCAATGAGTTTCACAAGAATGCTTATAGGAAGGTGGGTGAGGGATTATTTACAAGAGTATGAGCAACTTACCCACTGAAGAAAATGTCTCACCCTCCTCCAGCAACCACTAACTCTATAAATCCTTAGGGAGAGGCAAGGCCTCGAGAACAGGACAGAATGCTGATGGCCTAACCTTGAGCAGGACTTCTGCAGATAATTGAAGCTCCTGAGAGTTCAAGAATGCCATGCCACATCGAGAAAACAAACAACCAGTCTGAAAATGGGCTAAGGAACTGAACAGAGTTCTCAAAAGAAAAAACACAAATGACCAATAATGTTCAACATCCTTACCTAACAGGGAAACACAAATTAAAACTACTCTGAGGTTCTACCACATCCAAGTCAGAATGGATACCATCAAGAAAATAAAGGACAGCAAACACTAGAGGAAGTGTAAACTGGTACAGCCACTGTGGAAATCAGTGAGGAGGGTGTTTTCTCTCGCTCTCTCCTCCTCCTCATCCTTGTCCTCGTCCTCCTCCTCCTCATCTTCCTCCTCCTCCTCCCCTTCCTCCCACTCTTCCTCCTCCTCCTCCTTCTCCTCCTCATCGTCCTCCTCATCCCCGTCCTCCTCCTCCTCCTCCTCCTCCTCCTCCTCCTCCTTCTCCTCCTCCTTCTCCTTCTCTTCTTCAAGGAAAATTTTCACAGTGTAGCCTAGATTGGTCTCACACAGGATCATCCTGCTTCAGCCTCCCAAGTGCTGAGATTATAGGTGTGCATCACTGTTCTCTTTATTGTTAACTGTATTTTCTTCTGTTGACAAAGACATCTGCAAGCAGGCAGTCAACCAATAGTCTGAAACCTTGTAGAAAAGAACTTGGACCATTTCTAAACTATTCCAACTTTTTTGAGAAAATACAAAGCAAAAAAGATAGGCGGGTGAGAACCAGGTGCATTGTTAGAAACATCGACACTGACTGCCTTGTGGATGTTCTGTGTGTGGCTGGATAGTTTTTGGTAGTTACAGAGCAAGAGCAGAGCAGGCTCTAGATCCGTAACTCCATCAGGATACAGAAATAAATATCTGTGATGCGTACTTACCCCTGAGCCTCTCAACATCCATCCCATACCTATAGATGATAGAAAAACACTTTCCCTTCTCGTCTGTAGCCCTGATCATTTTCAATCCTATTTTACTTCCAATTATTTTAAAGGATGATGCCCAGGCAGCATTCTCCTAAATAAAGCCATTGCCCACACTGGATCAAGCAACTATGCTGCAAACAGCGGTTCCAAAGATGTGTGAGGTTATCAGTTTGCAAAATCCGTGAGGTTATCAACAGATGAGGGCAGAAAGTAAGCAGAGATCAGGTGCTTTGGGGGGACCACCACAAGTGAAATGCTAATCACTACACTCTGTGTGTGTTTATATGTGTGCATATACATTCTTAGTGTGTACACGTGTGGGGGGCATGCATGCAAAAGCCAGATGTCAACACTGGGTGTCGTAAGATGGCTCTCCACCTTATTTTGTGAGACAGACTCTCTCGCTGAACCTAGAGCTTGCAGATTTGGCTAGACTGATGAGCCAGCAAGCCCCAGGGATCTTACCATCTTCACCACACCAGAACTGGGGTTACAAGTTTATTAGTTTGCTTCTCTAATGCTGTGATAAAAATACTAACCAAAACCAAATTGGGGAGGAACAGGTTTATTTTATCTTACATCTCCCAGGTCACAGTTCATCACTGAGGGAAGTCAGGGTAGGAACTCAGGGCTGGAGGCAGGAGCTGAAATACAGACCATAGAGGAACACTGCTTACTGGCTTGCTCCCTGGCTCTGTGCTCATCCTGCTTTCTTATATAATGCAGGACCATATGCCCATGGGTGGCACTGGTCACAGTAGGCTGGGCCCTCCCACATCACTCAACAGTCAAGAAAATGCCCCACAGACATGGCCATAGGCTAATCCAAAGGAGGAAATTCTGCAGTTGAGGTGCCCTCTTACCAGGGTGTCAAGTTGAGAACTGAAGCTATCCAGCACAACAGGCGTGAATGAGCCTCTGTGCTTGCATTTTATGTGGTTGCTCAGGATCCGAACTCTAGTCCTCATGCATGTATAGAAAGCATTTTGACTGGCTGAACCAATTCCTTAGCCTCTTTACTGCATGCCTCTTAAAATGGTTTTTAAAATATGTCACTTTCAGTAGGCATGGTGGTGCATGCCTTTAATCCCAGCACTCAGGAGGCAAAGGCAGGCAGATCCCTGTGAGTTCAAGACTAGCCTGGTCTATATAGTGAGTTCCTGGCCAGCTGGGGCTACAGGGAGACCCTGTCTCAAAAAGACAAAAAAAAAAATCATTTTCAAAACAACATTACTTTCTTTAAAAATGACAGAATCAAAGCACCTTGTCCCCAAGTTATTCCAATCAGCTGAGGAAGGAATTATTTATCCAGGTAAACCCATAGTTCTAGCAATACATTTGAATAATTTTTTCCAAGTAAGTTATAAGTGATGCATCCTAATTCATTTTATAAGTCTGACTTTTTAACTCTTGTATTCTTTCTTAAAGCGGGGACCTTTATAGTTAAAAAAGAAGCTAAATGGAAATTGATAGTTTTTATTTTATTTATTATTTTTATTTTATGTGTATGAGTATATTGTCTGCATGTAAGTGCACTCATGTCATGTAATGCCCATGGAGGTCAGAAGAAGGTGTTGGATCCCCTGAAACTGGAGTTACAGATAGTTGTTAGCTGCCATGTGGGTGCTGGGAACCAAACCCAGGTCCTCTGCAAGGGCAGCCAATGCTCTTAACTGCTGAGCCATCTCTCCAGCCCTGGAAATTTATATTTTTATAAGAAACAAAAATAAATAAATAAAATGAGGAAAGGCAGTGAAAAATGGGATGAGAAGGAAGTTAAAGAAGGAAATGAAATGGCAGTTTAGCAGATTTCGATCTAGATTTCAAATTTTAAATTACTCGTTAGAGGTTTTGTAAATTAATTATTGAATAAGTATATTAGATTTACAGCCTGATAATGACTGAAGGCCTTTAAGCAAAGAATGCCAGTTTCTCTAGGACATCCAGTCAGTGGATTCATGATGTGTAGTCTCCTTACAGGGCTTGATTGAGGAGTTGGCCAGTAATACTAGGCAATTTGGTTCAAAAAAGCAGAGACCTGAGCAAGTACGTATTGTTGATACTAAGATAAAGAACACAGATTTGCTTCAACAATCACCTATTGACACACACTTGCTATGTTCCATCAGACACTGGTGATCCTTAGAAAGTTTAGATCTGCTCAAGGCCACCGTAAATGCATTAAAAACCTATCCTTTACATTTCGATGGAAAATTTAATTTTAGCTTATTGGTTGTTTTTTATTATTTTTTAATTTTATGTGTATGAGAGTTTTGCCTGCATATATGTATGAGCACCACGTGTGTCCAATGACTGCAGAGGCCAGAAGAGAGCACTGGATCCCCTGGAACTGGAGTTATGGACAACTGTGAGCTGCCATGTGGGTGCTGGGAACTGAACTGACGTCCTCTGGAAGAGAAGCCAGTGCTCTTAACCACTGAGGTGTCTCTCCAGCTCCAGTTTTAGCTAAATTCATTTTTAAGTGTAATTTAATTAATTTTAGGCTATTTGTCAAGGAGCATGAATTGGTTT